CCATGAGTGAACGTCATGATTCAGTTCATCTGGAAGAGAAGACAAAAATGCCGAAGACCTCAGCTGTGTGGGAGCACTTTAAATTGAGTGAGGACAAGACAAAGGTAGTGTGCCAAATATGCGATTTGAACAACAGCACATCAAGTTTGAAAAATCACCCGAGTTCTGTAAGTAGTATGCCTATAGTATATTGTTGGTGTAAAAAAAAAAGAGCTGCTTTTATCCGCCAATCAGTTATTTTACACATGATAAAAACGTGCACTTAATTTGCTTGGAAAATACTTGCGAAAACGGCAGTCATAAAAAAAACGTACAGTAGCCCAGCTTAATAATAATTTGTCTATATTAAAAGTATTGCTCTTAACAGGCCTGTGTGTTTTGTATAACTAGTGCAGTGTCCGTTCTCGGAGCATATAAGCCCTGCCCACGTGAGGCGCGCCGCTTCCGGATCGCGCTGTTCTGTAGTTTATTAAAAGTGTATTAATTCTGAACGTGTCGCGTGTCCATATTGCACCAAAATGCGACACTGCACTCCCTTGGGTCCGCAGCAACACACCCGCCACGCGTGAAGTCGATTGGATGAACGGCCCAAATGACCTCTGCCATTGCCAGAACTCAGCCATATGTGCCATATTTGGCCCAGATGAGGCCCGGAAGTCAGACGCGGGCCGGGCCTCGGGCCTGTTTTAGGTTTCTCCTTATTTTTATATTTTAGACATCCATCAATTAGTAATGAAAAAAATTGCTGCGCTGGTGGAAACAACACGAGACCGTGCTGTCAAGAGCGGCTCGACGGTGTTTAGTGTCCTGCCAGCAGCAGTAGCTATGGTACGTGCCGTCAGCGCAGTTGAACAGTTCTGCGTTCAAATGCACGCAATAGGCTTAAGTTTGCCGCAAAGCACCGGCAAAAGTAATTACCATAAATGTGACGGGGGGAAATAGTAAGGAGATATTTGAGTTATTTACTAATAAACTAGTGTTTTCTGAGTCGGTGTCGCAAGGATGAAGTTGTCGATCCTGACTCGCTATCTCATTAGACGCGCCTTTAGAGAGAAGTGCATCTTTACGGATTATGATTATAATGAAAGAGTTTTTGTTTTTGATTTGTTTTATTTCGTTAAGTAGTAATTTAAAGCTTTCTATAGATATATTTATCATGTCTGTGAGGCATGTATTCGCTGAGTTTCGGTTCATTTTTGTGAAGCGTGCCTGTTCAAGACGAGACGGCAGAAAGCGCATCATGTTTGATTTCTTTATTTTATAAAAGCACAACGTTTTGTTGATATTGTGAGTACACACAAATAAAAGTAGACCCTTTACAGTTACGAATGATGTATTACTCTTACCTTTATGAGCAAAAATGACGGTGTATCCACTGAAAAAA